GTTTGAGACACTATTTCAGGCTACCAAAGAGACGTGATTTTCTCCCAAAGCCTAAGGTTGCCACTTCAAAGAGAGATTTTAAAATTTCTGCACTCAGCTACAGAACAGTTGGATCATATATTGTAAGGACATATGCAAAGAGCTTATCAGAAAAGGGCAGAAGAGCAACAATTTACACAGAAATCCTACTCCCTTTTTTCCATTTACAGAGCAAAGGTGGTAGTAACTTCACCACCAAAAATATTAAGTTACTATGTAAGGGTCTGATCTTTTCAGCAACTCTTAAGATGACTGGAAGAAGAACCTTTGCAGAACAAGGATTCCGGGCATCGCTGATGCTGTTTAAAACATATTGTATGGCTTTATTCACAGCAAACTGGACCTGGTTAAATTGCAAGACAGTCCTGAATCTGAGTTTATTCCAAGCATGGTGTCTAGAAAAAAAGGAATCTGAGCTCCTGGCCTCCCTTTTTCACTACTTTTGTTGGGAAGAAAAGTTCTTCCTGGGGACAGAAAGAATCACAGACTGGGACCTTTTCTATATGTGTGGCTGCAATTTGGAAAAGGCTGTGCTGGACTGCCTCATCAGTTATCCTGCAGCAACCCGCAGATAAAAGCTCTTGCCTTTTCTGCACTGATGTGAAAAATTCTTCTGTTTGCTCAAAAAGCATCCTGGTGTAAGCAGGTTTATGATGGCAGCTTCTAGCCATCAGCTGGGTTTTTGAACATTTCTAGAAGGAGACCCAGTGAGTCTAAAGCTGCCCTCCACGCTGGGGTTGGGCACAGTGTCAGGTTCCTTTGGAGAGTAGCCTTTCCCTTCATAGGAGTCTTATTACTCTTCTGTTTCTGCAGTATTTCAACAAACACACTAGATTATCCCAAAGAAATTTGCATAAACTTACCTGGGACTTCTGAGAGAGAAACACGGAAGGGATTAAAACATCAGTTTAGGAACAAAATCCTTTAGAGGAATAACTGGAGCTAATGACATGAGATATATTTTTGTATCTTTTGTAATGTTGGAAGCAGAAATAAAAAGACCCTAGGAGAAACTGAGAATCACCACATAATTTACACCAAACTTTAACAAAGCAGTAAAAGGATCTCAATATCTCTCCAATTTACTTGCTCTTCCTTACATTTCCACTGACTCTTATAATGACACAATCATTTAGACTGAAAAGGACCTTTATATCCAACTGTTAAACTAGTACCACTAGTACACCACTATACCCAGGTACACAACTTTCAAATACCCCCAGGGATGTTACATCATCACTTCCTGGGCAGCCTCTTCCAATGCCTGACAACCCTTTCCATGAAGACATTTTTCCTAATACTCAATCTAAACCTCCCCTGGTGCAAGTCGAGACCACTCTTATCCTGTCTTTTGTTACTTGAGAGAAGAGACTGACCTCTACCTGCCTACAGCCTCCTTTCAGGGAGTTGTGGACAGGGATAAGGACTCCCCTGAGTCTCCTTTTCTCCAGGTTAAACAACCCCAGCTTCCTCAGCTGCTCCTCACAGGACTTGGGCTGTAGACCCTTCATCAGCTCTGTTGCCCTTCTGTGGACACACTCCAGCACCTCAGTGTCCTTCTCATAGTGAGGGGCCCAGAACTGAACAAAGCACTTGAGTTGCAGCCTCACTAGTGCCAAGTACAGTGGGAGAATCACTTCCCTAGTCTTGCTGGCCACACTATTTCTGACACAAGTCAGGATGTCATTGGCCTTCTTGGCCACCTGGGCACACTGCTGGCACATGTTCATCTGCTGTCAACCAGCACCCCCAGGTCCTTCTACACTTGGCAGTTTTCCAACCACTCTGCCCCAAGTTGGTAGCACCGCAACGGGTTGTTGTGAGCCAAGTGAAGGACCTGGCACTTTGCCTTGTTGAAACTCACAGAACTGGTCTCTGCTCATCGACACAGCCTTTCCAGATCCTTCTGCAGAGCTCTCCTGCTCTCCAGCAGATCAACACTCTCACTCATCTTGGTGTCCTCTGCAAACCGACCGAGTGCACACTTGATCCTTTCATCGACTGACAATTGATAAAGATATTAAACCAAATTGGCCCCAATACTGAGCCCTGAGAGACACCACCAGTCACTGGTTGCCAGACGTATTTAGCTCCACTCCCCACCACTCACTGGGCCTGGCCATCCAGCCTGTTTTTTACCCTATCCAAGCCAGGAGCAGCCAGTTTCTCCAGGAGACTGCTGTGGGAGACAGTGTCAAAGACTTTACTAAAGTTTAGGTAGACAACAACCACTCATCCACTAAGTAGGTCACCTTGTCATAGAAGGAAATCAGGTTGGTCAAGTAGGACCTGCTTTTCACAAACTCATGCTGATGAGGCTAATCCTCTGGTTGTCCTGCACACGTCACATGACTGCACTCAAGGCAAGCTGCTCCATGACCTTCCCTGGCACCGAGGTCTGTAATTCCCTGGATCCTCCATCTGGCCCTTCTTGTAGATGGGTATTACATTTGTTAACCTCCAGTCCACTGGGACCTCCCTGGTTAGCCAGGACTGCTGGCTGATTCAATCTCCCCTGGTTGTCTCCCTCACCATCTGTGTCAAGAAATTATCTTCCACACACTCCAGGAACTTCCTGGACTGTTTCCTATCCCCTGTGTTGTATTTCCAGCAGACATCTGCTAAGTTCAAGTCCCCCATGAGAACAAGGGCGAGTGACTGTGAGACTTCTCCCAGCTGCTTATACAATATTTCTTCTGCCTCTTCATCCTGGTTGGGTGGTCTATAACAGACTCCCACCATGATATCTGCCTTGTTGGCTTTCCCTCTGATTCTTACCTAGAAACACTCAACTCTAATGTCACCATCATGGAGGTCACCTTTGGTAATAGAACTGCAGCCTCAGACACAGAGCAGAGAACAAGCCTCTGCTTGGACACTTTAATTTCTCTCTCCTCTCCAACATTTAGGATCCAAAGTCCTCCCACCCTGGCTCAATACCTAGTGCTATGGGATTGTCCCATCAATTCTTTCTTTGTGCTTGACTGCCCGGGAGATGAGCAGATGCAGACACTGACCAATTTATTAGCAGGATTAGAAAACTGTGGAGAAGTAGGTAGTCAGCTGGAATTAAAAGGTACACTGGACAACTTACAAAATCATACATTTGGGAGTTGTGCTATGTGTGTTATGAGGGCTGGCAGTAGCACAGAAATTCTGTCTCTGTGTGCAAGTTAGAGCTTTTCACAGCTATAATCAGATGACCATTCTTGCCTAGCTCTATGGAGACTAACACAACCACTTTTTTACTTCTATTAACTATTCTTCTCCATGTTTCCATATTTTCTGTCTGTATTTTCTTTCAATCTTCTGTCTGCTTCTGGTCTGTGTTTCTCTCCCTACAAGTGGACTTTATGCTTGGTTTCGTTCCCCCAGTAAAAAAGCAAGGGATATTAACTGAAATTATGGCAGAGATGATTCCCTCACTGTCTCAATTCAGATTTTGCTCTCTTTGACCATGCAGTCCTCTATGCCCAAGTTTAGTTTATATACATTTCTTTACATGGTGCATCATGCTTATACACTATACATTCAGTAAAATATTGCTATTAAAGGGACAGCAGCACACAGTGAGACAGTACAATAGCACAGCATTACTCCTTAAGCATAAATTCATGTTACTTATGCTTGTTAAGGTTTATGTTTACATGAGACTCAAGGTTCAGTGGAGGGAAATGTTTGGTGAAGAGGCCTGAACAGTACCCAAAGAGGAGGAAAAATCTGATATTCCTTAATGAAGAAAGATTGTGAATAATTCAGTTAAGTAAGAAGGTGATTGTTTCAGGCCTGCTGAAAGGACATCAGTGTATCCACAGAAAGAAAAGGAAACAAATGCATAGAGGAGTAAGCACTAGAACCCTGTCCTTGACAGTAGAGCTGAAGACAATAGGTCCTGCCCCTTAGTTGGGTACTGGGAAAGGTAAAGAGGCCTTGTGGATTTTAGCAGGGGATAAGTACAGTAAATATGCTCTCTTTTCTATTATCCTCCTAATGGAGTGGTGTATTTTGGCTTCTGTAAACAAATACTCCTATTTGCTTAGGCTGACTTTGCTTGAGATGATTTTGAGAGAGCTGATGAAATGCATCAAGGTTAAAATTTTACAGGGTTGTAAACCTTCACACCAGCATGCTGTAATGCCTCTGTGCTTACCATGCAGTACACATTTTGAGGATAAGAAAAAACAATAGGGTATCTCTCTGATTCTGAACAGCTTGCAATACAAATTACATGGTTTTAGTAGTGTGCTACTAGGAAAGTGCTTTGGTTTGTGACAGGATAGTGGGGAACTTTTTTGTGACCATCTCCTTACAAAGTTACTCTGAAAGTCTCCTTTCTAGGTAAAACTATGAAGTGAATTTCCAAGGAGTTGTGGGAAATGGAGATAGGTGAAGAAAACTATTTTAGGTGGAGACAGAATCCAGAACCCTTTATCAACTCATTAAGAGGAGCAGGCGGGAATGGAACCCATTTCTAATTCACATGTGTAACTCTGCTCCCTTCATCCTCCTCCCTAGTTCAAGAATGATCCAAACTTCACTCATTTTCAGAGGTGATATGGAAAAGTTCTACTGAAAGTAATAAATTTTTTTTATTAATAGAAAGAATAATAAAACCCAAGTTCTTCCAAGTATAGAGTACCAAGGGGTGCTTGAATGCTACATCACTAGAGCATGCTCATAATTCTTTATCACTTACTATACTGTCAAGCTCTCACCTGTCCCAAATAATCAGACCAATAAAACCAACTACATAGATAATCAGTGTCATCAATCATTCTATACAGAATATCACTGAGAAAAGAGCTCACACAGAGAACAATTATACTGAAACACCAAAAACTAAAAGAGTGAAAACATTTAACAAATCTCGGGTAGCTCTTTCATCCCCACTGTATTGTTTGCTTTAACATTCTCCCTTCCCCCCTCAAACAGTGACAGTAAAAAAAAAATCATTAAAATACCTTTGAACTTGTGAAAGACGGCCCATAGCTCAGCAATGTCAGTGGCAAATGTAATGTCTGTGTCGAGGACAATGACTCGCTCAAGATTAGAAGGTAGAGTCTTAGTCAGAACCAACTTCATCAGCCCGTAAATCCCAGAGTAGTGTTTGTTGGGGATCCAAGACACTTCCGACTTGACAGGAAATGGGAAGTGGGAAAGAAGAAGAAAAAATAATCTTCATTAGAGAGAGAAACTTTTCCTGACACTAGTTTCTTGTAATAGTGGAAGATCTCTGAGGTGAAAAGTCATCTAAAATCCTGCTTTCAAACTTACTTCAGAAGCTCCAAAATACGCAAAAGTTTCGGAAACCTTGGGAAATGAAAAGTTCTCTGAGGCAACCGCTTTACACAATGAAATTAAAATTAGTTGAGCCTTTCTGATCCGGTACAACTCCTTCTGAGACATTCCTGTATCCTGATACAATTGAAGTATATTTTTAATCTAAAACTGCTGGTATATTGTACCTTACGTTCATTTTCAACCAAACCAAAAATTTTTATGTTTGCCATTCCCAGAATATTCTGACTCTTGAGGTAGAAGTAACAAACATAATTTCATTCCTTATATTTTTTTATAGATTTGGAGGTCAAAATTTCAAAAGGCCCGTTGTTTGGTACAATGGGTCAGAAAATTGCAAGAAAAATTGTTTCTTACACACTCAAATGTACCTAAAGCCTTACATCTTTTAACTTAAAACTACTGAAATCACACAGACATCTTCAAAAGTAGAGAAAGTGACAGAACATTTTTAGCCACATTTTTTGTTTGTCACATATTGAAGTGGTAAACTCAAACATTTTCATTTCTTCAGAACAGGCTAAACAAAACATTTCTACAGCTTCTAAAATAAGTTGGGAGACTAAACTCCATAGTTGGCACTAGGATGTTCCATGAGCTATGTTTAATTTTCTTTCTGTAAGACTCAAGTTCTCAAGTACCAAAAGTCACTTCTGAAAGTGTCATATAGAGGTTTTTGAAATTTCCCATTTCCCTGTCTGAAACTCCTATTGTTTAATGTTTTAAAGGGAATGCATTACAATTCCCAGATTTTAAGTTTTTCCTTGAGTCATGTTCTCCTTAGTTTCAATTAGTAGTTTGTCTAGAGATGATCTGAGTGAGACAGATTTCAAAATTTGTCCTAGCATGTAATACTTTGGGGAAAGTAGGCAGAAACTAAGTGCATTCATAAAACTGAGGAGATTTATTCTGTTATTTAACTAGCTCATATCTATTCAATGGCATTGTAAAGTTTATTACATGAAACAGCATTTGTACAGAACTCATTGACTCCAAAATCCTTAAAGAAATCCTTCCCGTGAGAGAATGAGTTCCTAAAATTTATTTGAAGTTGGAAGCATGGTTGAAGAAAGACTAATAATAGGTGCTTAGAGCACACTTCTTTTTGAATATAAAGTAACAAGGCCTCTGATGATGTAAGCTGACCTGTGCTACTCCCTTTATGATAACACACAACTTTCCTCTGTATTCTCAGGATTCCTGTACCAGGGCAGAGCTTTTCTCCAATATTAAGTTCATTAAAAAGTCTGAGGGAAGTAGAGCAAACCTTCAAGGAGAAAGACAAAATTTTAAGGGGAAAGGCAGAAAAAGCAGGTTATCATAAAACAAAGCAAAACCAGAAAGAGCAAACTGAAGTGTGAGGTTTTGTTTGGATTTTTGAAACCTCAGTGCTACCCAGAAATGTTTTCTATGTGTGTAACAGAGATAATTTCAAATCCACACCCTCAAAACTCCAGTTATTTGTGGTCCCACAGGGGGGCTTCAGGAATGGACCATCATATCAAGGTGTCAGAAAGCAGTGTCTACTTTGCTTTCACAGACTATATTGCTTTGAATCTGACACTTGACATCCTTGTGATAGACCAGTCGTACCGCACATGTTAAAAGAGCTAATTATTTTACAGACTTATGTTTGCTTTTACCCATCCCCATGTTACTAATTTTGGGTGGCATGTCCTTCATTTTATTACTCCAAATGCAATATTTCTCTAAAACAACACTTAATATGCTTATGCAAATAAGCCTAATAAGGCAGAGGTTCAGATGTTGCATGAATAGCCTGAGACAAGGGAAGGTAAAAGGTGGCTGGAAAAGTAAGTCGCCTTCAAGGTGCAGTTACCTTCTTTGCTCTCAGGATTCCCAATACCACTGCCACATATCACTGAATGGAAGAGATCCTTGCCAGGCAGTTCCTTCTGATCTGGTAGACAGAAACCAAAAGCCTGCCATTCTGAAGCCTGATGTCTGAAAGGATCACTTTTTAAAATGAAAAAAGCAATCCCTATTCCACATGGTCTATCGCAGTTGGATAGCATGTGCTTGATTTGAGCATACATTGAAGCGTGGATTGTCAATTAGTTCAATTTATCTAAAGTTTTCTCTCCTGTGATGCAGAGTTCACTATGACACAAACAGAGATCCTAATTAGTCCCCAGTATAATTTCTTCATGGTATTGCTATTCATGAATAATGCAACCGTTCCAAATTCATGCTAAGGAAAACTCCTTACACTACACAACAGCACTCTGAAGGCTCACTCTCTCTGGGTACTACATACAGTCTTCTGTACATACAGTAGAAAAGAAACACAAGGGCACAGTGTTTGAATAGGTCATTGTCCCTGTTTAGGTCAGGACCTGGAGTTTATTCTATACCACTTCATGTCATTGCCACGGGTGGGGGAAAGGGACTCTCCCACTTCAGAGAAGAAGGGCGTGGTTTCCAGTCAAAAAACATGGAGGCATTGTTGGCCACTGTTCATTGTCTCGGGATCTGGGGTTTTTGCACACGAATTATTCTCTCTTTTGTATACCTTTGTTATTAGTAGTGTTACTGTTACTATAAATTTTCTTATCTCATTGCTGTTTCCAGTAAACTGTTCTTATCTCAGCCCATGATCTTTACCTTTTACACCTCCAATTCTCAACTCCATCCCTCCAGAGTGGAAAGAGAGAGGGGAAGAAGGGAGTGAGCAAGTGATGGGTGGTTTGGTAGAGTCTCGGTGGGGACACTAAATTGGGGAGCACCGTTCCTAAACCACGACAATTGTTAAGAAGTGCCAGTTTAAGATAATTATGGTGGTCTAAGTCATAAAAAAATAATTGCAAAACTCTTGGAAAATTCTGCAACCTTTAAGCTGTTCACTTTGATATAACTGGTAACATTTAGTCACTTTTTCTCATTATTGTCTAAATTCTTTCTGTAAGTCTTAATGCATATTTTTTTCTCTAGCATAGTTAAAATGGCCCATATATGCCATGTTTGTGAATAATCTGCTTTACAAGCTAGATCAGAGTTGCCTTCAGAGAACAAATAGTCCTAGAAGATACATAAGGAACAGAAAAAAATAGAGTTAGTAAAAGAAGAAAGAGAAACAAAATAGTGTGACATACTTTGCCATTTGTGTAATTCCCAGTTCAGCAGAAACAGCACACCTTGGATCTCTAGCTCTCAAGATCTGGATTTTTGTTCATGAGAGGAGAGTAAAGAATGGCATTTAGCTGGTACTGACAGCGATTCTTTTAAGTAAATTAAGCAAAATAACATCTACTCACTAAAGGTCTTTCATCAGAACGATCTTTATTCTTTCTCTAATTGAAGCCTGAAAATACACTAAATTATCCAAATTATTTTAATATAAAAATTACATGCCCGTGAGTCTGCATGCAGTACATAACTGATCACTCTGGTAAATGCCAGAGAAGTGGGAGCAACAGCCTCCATGTCCAGGGATACTTTACCAGCAAGTTGTCTTCCCTAACTGGATTCCATCACTGGGAAAAGCTGACTAAAACACACTTGTTGTACACAACCTAACTCAGCTTTCTCACAGCTGCTACCACTGTATACATTTTCATTAGAGTTAGCAGAAGTGTCATTTTTAAGAGAGAAGTCTGATATAGACATACAGCTTTAAATCAAGTTTCCCTGTTTCTGTGACTGAGAGAGGGGAAAACGGTGGCTCTTTCCCTGTTTGTGAACAAACTGTATAGTGATTATGTTCCCAAGTATTTAGGTATTTGTATTTTTAATAACACATTATGATCACAAAGCACAACTCTTATACTAAGTCATCACAAATACATTCAGCCAGACTTTGAGTGTTATACTGTACTTTAGGGAATTGTGAGATTCTTTTTTTTTATTATTTTATTTTATTATGCTATTTTTCCCCCCCAAAAAAATGATAAGGAAACTTGCCCAGGCTTCCCAGGTGAGTGCTGTCTCCTCCATAGTTGTAAGTTAAATAACTGTACAAGGGCAGGTCACTTGAGCCTCTTTGAAAGGGACAGAGACTTGGTCTTGTAGACTTGGCAGAAAGTAAATTTGGTACCAACATGAACGGAATGACAGTGACCAAGAGGGAATGACAAACAACTTAGAGTGCCTGTATCCTGTCAGATCAAGAGTCCATTGAGCCCAGTAGCTGGCATCTGATAGTGGCTGGTGGTAGGTGCTTACTAAAGAATATAAAACCTACAGCAATACTGCCCCCATATATACTCCCACCCTGCAGCAATTTGCACCAGATTTTGGAGTGATAGATGGTATTTTTTTTATTAATTACTTTTGGTGGATTTTTTGTTTGTGAATTAGGTTGGTTTTTGAAGCCCTGTAAACTTTTAGCAACATCTTGTTGCAAAGAATCATAGCTTCTTTACAACTCCTGTTTCTTTGGACCCAGCTATCTACCAGTTTAATTTGGGTCACATTTGTTCAGTGTGGTAAGACGGAATTTTGGTTGGTGAAACATTTTGCCTGGTAGCAATGTCCTTAAACACTTTAACTCTGGAAATATGCAACCTTCAATAATATATTAATTTTGTCACTACATTCACTGCATCTTCCTAGATATGCTTGGTAAAAAAAAAACCAACAAAACAAACAAAACACTTCAATCAAAATAATCCACAGCTAGCACATACTATCTTCATCCCCACTCCAAATAAAAGACAGCCTTGTTGCTCAGCTGACTTTACAAAAGCACCACTAAGGCCAGTGTCTTGCAACAGCCTGTAGGGTCAGATGGTTGGGTTGAGGAACCAGGCTGAGAAACAGCAAGCCTGGAGGCAGAAGGTGCTATTTGCATGCACCCTCACCCCTCTCAGAGATGG